GAGGGGTCCTCAACCAACTAGTGAATGTGAACTGCGTGCCCCTAATCCCGGATGGTGATGCAAAGAGACACAAGGTTTTTACTGGTTCAGGCAATCGGTGCCCTCGTCCCGGTCGAGAGATCGATCTTGTATTCCTTGCATCAAGTGCTTGTAGTAGGGGTTACAAGCTGGGAGAGAGGAGCTAGTCCCGGTCTCTGCGTGGAGCGGTGCGGGCTACTTGAGACGTTGCTCTCAGGCAGCGGGAAAGCGTGGGTCTGAGTCTACGTGAGCCTATGCGAGTGTTCGTCTATCTTCCTGTGCGATCTTCCCGAGAGCGCCTGACCCTCGCTTAGAAATGGCCCCGGTCTCTCCTTTTATAGTTGAAGGGGGACGGGGTGATACATGTGTTCGCTTATGCAGCGTCTTGTAAGCGGAGGTGGCGTGTCTCGAGCCACGTAGCTTACTCTTTGTGGCGGTATGGTCAGCGAGTGGTCGTCCTTGATGTCTTTGGAGCAACACGCCGGTCACACGATCTTGTATGGCGTGGGAGCTCGGTGATAGCTTGGCGCAGAGGCATGGCCGACGACATCTTGGTCGCATTTGTCGTTGATGAGGCAAAGAGCCGAGGCTCGATTGGTCGAGGCCGAGCCATCATGAGGGGGCTCGGCGGCTTGAGTCCCGAGGTTGCCGAGGCCCCTGAAGTGGATTGTCGAGGCCTTAGAGGGAGCGATTGGTCCTATGCTGCTGATTCCGAGGCTATAGTGACCCGTGACGACCTAAACTCCCCACGCCTTTGTTCTGGAGCAGAATTAGGTAGCCTGAGTGTTGTACAGGCGCCGATCATGGGAAGCGATCTTGAGCACGCAGTGTCCGGTACCCCTTTCAGCCCCTCTCTCTGTTTCGTATTGCCACTCTGCTGCACTACGTCGACGTTGGGCTGACGTTGCGGGAGTGGTTGGACGCGTGACGTTTTGTCAGAGAAGTCGGTCGAGATGGAGGCGACGAGGTTGTTGCCGAGCCGGCCTCGAGCGAGTCAGAGAATCGGTAACCCGTCTGAGGCCGTGCGGGGCGGGGCCTCGGCGAGATGGCCTCGGTGAGAGGGCCTTGGCAAGGCGGAGAGTTGGCCTTTCATCCGAGGCCTTTGCGGGATGGGCCTCGGGCGAATTGGAGAATCAGCCGTGACCTCGTGGTTGTTGTTTGGCTCTGATATTTGCAAGGTTTAAGCAATCTTTTCGGTTCTTGCTTGGGGTACCCCTTTTTATGGTATCCGACAGTAGCCCCCCGAGCCTCGGGGTCAGTGCGAGCACTCTCCCTGAGGTTTTGTCGATATTTTGGCTTGCAGCAGCTCCCGTCGGGATTGTGTTTTGTACTCATGGTTCCGGGGGGTGCGTGCGAGCGCACCCGCCGGGTGTAGCCCCCGAGGCCCTGGAGGAGTGGATTTACTCCTCCAGGGGCTTTTTCTCTGTCAAGTAAGGAGTTTCATCGCGTTTGTCGGGCCCCTGAGTGCGAGTTCAGGTCGATGTTGTTTGCCCCCGAGCCTCTGCACGGAGCGAGAGGGCGATCAGGAGTTCCCCTGGCTTTTTGTGCGACCCTCGCGCATCCTTTTTGTTCAGAAGGAGGGGTTGTTTGCCGAGCCCTCGCGTGCGAGCCTGGGTCGCTGGGTCTCGGCAAGGTTACAGGAAGAGCCCTCGAGCCTCTGCATGGAGCGAGAGGGCGATTAGGAGTTTCCCTAGCTTTTTGTGCGACCCTCGTGCATCCTTTTCGTTTGGAAGGAGGGGTGGAATATGTCAGGCTACCCTCGGTGGGCGCGAGCGGTGGCACTTCCGGTGAGCTTTTATCGGGTAAGTCCAAGTGGAGGCCCATGCCCCATTCGATAGGGGTCGGCTAGCGGTCCAGAGACACACTCCAAAGGCACCAGAGGGCTTCTCCAGTGGGTCCCAGGGCCGTTCGATTGGCCTCGGGGGCTCGATGCCTCCCTACGGTGGGATCCTATTCAGAGACCTCCCTGCCGGTCTCGGACACGATTTACGTCGTGGCAGAGGACAATGAGAAGGCCGAGGAGGAGGCGGCTGAAGCCCCTGGCACGGCGCTGGCCCGGCTGTTCAAAGAGGAGGTAGCTCCTCCTACGCCGTCCGTCGATGTTGGCGACCCCGTATTCTGACCTGGGCCAAAGGGGTCATGTAATAGATTAGGACGTACATCATTGTACCATAACGTTTGTGGCCGTCGAGGCCTTTTTAGTACTTGTGTATATATGTTTTTTAATCTTTTTCTATTATGTTTCCCATCCCCTGCCCTCTGCTCTATTTCTGAACATATCACTTGTAAAAAACTTCCTCGAAGCCCAAGCTGCCCCTCTGGCGAAAGGTGGCGAGGGAGTTGCCGTAGCCTAGAGGCGTAGGCAGTCTCGTGGCTCGGCCGGCCTTTTGGCCTCGAGGCATACTTTCGGTCCTTAGTTTTTTTTACAATTGATTTGTCAGAGTACGTGAGAGAGTTTGGCGTAGGATTTTTTTTGAAAAGACGACTAAAAACGGTGTCCCCCTGTCTCGTTTTTAGACAAGTCCTTTGCAAAAACTTCCTTGGAGCCTAAGCTGCCCCTCGGGCGAAAGGTGGTGAGGAGTTGCCGTAGCCCAGAGGCGAGGCTGTCTCGCGACTTCGGCCGGCCTTTTGGCCTCGAGGTGAACTTTCGGTCCTTAGGTTTTTGCAATCGATTTGTCGAGTTCGTGATGAGTTTGGGATTGGGGGGTCCCTCCTAGCCCCGAGGGAGGCTCGGTTCTGCAGAGGCAGAGTTGAGTCTCCCCTAAGCGATTATCGTAACGCCGAACCCGTACCGATGGGCTCGAGGGGTTCCTCGAAAATTTAGAACAATTAAAGAACGTTTCTTTATTGTATTTCGAGGAAAATTGTATGACACTTGGGAATTTAAGGGTAGAAGCGACGTATCTGTTCTATGTTCCAAGTGTTGGTGAGGATTTTGCCCTTCTCGTAGGCTAGCTTGTAGGTCCTGGGCTTTAGTACTTGGGCAGGCCACCAACTTCTAAGTCGTCGTCGAGGTCACTGGCCTTCCTGGACTTGTCCTCGATGTCGTCCACGCTGGCCTCGATGGTTCGCCCGATGTGCTCGCCAAAGACCTGGGTGGTGCACCGCTGGTACGTGGCCCTTGCGTTTCTGAGACCGAATGGCATAGTGACATAGCAGTACATGTCGAATGGGGTGATGAAAGAACTCGGCTCCTCAGGAGGTGGCGGGGCAGAGCTTGATGACGGGGCATCGCTGCGTGCCACCGACGTCTTTCTCTTGCCCAGGCTTAAGCTATACAGGTACCCAGCCAGGGACTCTGTGCCAACAGCCGGGCATGGGATACAGGCGGAGCGCGGATCGTCGCCCTGAACTTGCGCGGTGTCGGGGTGGTCCCACCCGCGTTGCGCCTGGCGAGCGCGACGAGAGCGGCGGTCCGGGCGCCGCCCGCGCCTAGGCTACGGGTGCGTGACGCCGTTGTCGGCCGGTGGGGCTCTGGGGGTAAGGAGTACCATATCGTACTCATATCCTAGAGACATGAACTCTAGGCTCCCAAACCAGATCACCGTGCTGAGACGTAGTGGTCGTATGGGGTCTGCCATCCGGAACTTGTTGGGACGATTAAGCTAAGACGCAGTATGGCCCCTACCTGGCGCGCCAACTGTCGGTGTTTCGGACCGGAGGGTCCTCAACCAACTAGTGAATGTGAACTACATGCCCCTAATCCCGGATGGTGATGCAAAGAGACACAAGGTTTATACTGGTTCAGGCAATCGGTGCCCTACGTTCAGTCTGAGAGATCGATCTTGTATTCCTTGCACCGAAGTGCTTGTAGTAGGGGGTTACAAGCTGGGCGAGAGAGGGAGCTAGTCCCAGGTCTCTGCGTGGAGCGGTGCGGGCTGCTTGAGACGTTGCTCTCAGGCAGCGGGGAAGCATGGGTCTGAGTCTACGTGAGCCTATGCGAGTGTTCGTCTATCTTCCTGTGCGATCTTCCCGACAGCGCCTGACCCTCGCTTAGAAACGGCCCCGGTCTCTCCTTTTATAGTTGAAGGGGGGACCGGGGTGATACATGTGTTCGCTTATGCAGCGTCTTGTAAGCGGAGGTGGCATGTCTGAGCCCTGTAGCTTACTACTGTGGCGGTATGGTCAACGGAGTGGTCGTCCTTGATGTACTGGAGCAACACGCCGGTCACACCTGATCTTGTACGACGTGGGAGCTCCAGTGATAGCTTGGCGCAGGGTATGGCCGACGATGTGCTGGTCACTGTGCGTTGACAGTGTAAAGAGCCGAGGCTCAGTTGGTGCCGAGGCCGAGCCATCGCAGGGGGCTCGACGGGCGCGAGTCCCGAAGTTGCCGAGGCCCTGAAGTGGATTGTCGAGGCCTTGGAGGGAGCAGTTGGTCCTATGCACTGATTCCGAGGCTATAGTGACCCATACCTGACCTAAACTCCCCACGCCGCGCTGTTCCTGGAGCAGGAATTAGGTAGCACAGTGCTGTACGGGCGCCAGTCATGGGAGCAGTGCTGAGCACAGTGTCTGGTAACCCCTGCTCAGTCCTATCTCCTGTTCCGTCGGCCACTCTGCTACACTACGTCGACGTGGGGCTGACGTTGCGGGAGTGGTTGGACGCGTGACGTTTTGTCAGAGAAGTCGGTCGAGATGGAGGCGACGAGGTTGCTGCCGAGCCGGCCTCGAGCGAGTCGGAGAATCGGTAACCTGTCTGAGGCCGTGTGGGGCGGGGCCTCGGCGAGAGGGCCTCGGCGAGATGGCCTCGGCAAGGCGGAGAGTTGGCCTTTCGTCCGAGGCCTTTGCGGGACGGGCCTCGGGCGAATCGGAGAATCAGCCGAGACCTCGTGGTTGTTGTTTGGATCTGATATTTGCAAGGTTTAAGCAATCTTTTCGGTTCTTGCTTGGGGTACCCCTTTTTATGGTATCCGACACATATAACACAATATTATCTCGACCTAAAACATATTGTGAAACATAAACACAACATCCTCTATTTATGCAATGGCGACATAGCTTGGTAGCTTTGAATCGCCTGGCCGAGCAAACACTATCTGCATAGCATATAAACAAAAATCAACCCATAGTTACCACATAACTGAAGTTAATTACCATTGTTTAACCATATAGTGTCGATAGTAAGCGCGTACCTGGTAATCTATAGTAATGCGCGATTTGAACAAAGCCGCACAATAACCTAAATAGTACTCCCAAATACAGATGAATTTTTCGTCAAATCCTAGGGCAGAAGCTTTTCTGCGAAATATCAAAACAAATAAGGGGAATCTAGTACTAAGTAATATAAATAAATAAGCACCTGCAACTAAACTTGAGTTTGAGGTAGTATTGAATTTACTCTCTGTTTGCCGCGAAGTTGTCCCTCCAGTTCATTAGAGTCGTGTAGTAGTGGTCACCAATATTCTCAAGGTGTTGAATGCTGCACACAGGAGTACTCATCAACAATATAGAAGTACGCATGATAATCCACAGATGAATTTGTTAAACGATGGCTATGAAATATAGTTGAGTACATACTTGAGCCTTGATGCATTTGTCATGGCAGACACAATCCGGCCTAGAGAAGGTAGGCAGCCACCGGGGAAGATATATGTCTTTACAAACTCAGGCCGCAACCTCATTTTGTCGTACATTTCCTCTACGAGCGCAATGGTCTGTGTGCATATAAATTTAATTTTCAGAAAAAATAGTTTGTTGAAGACTAAAGTTATCCCCAATCATACAATGGTGTATAAGATAAATAAATATTGGTAATGATCAACCTGGAGGACAAATATGCCGTGTTCTGCCAAATGATACTCGCAGGAGGCAAAAAAATCTTCGTAGTACTCATGGCCAACGTGTTGAAGCATCTCACTAAATGAGCAAGGAGAACATAGTTATCAGAGTAGCAGCTAAGCTATCATTTCTATGATCACTTCAGCAGTATCACTCACCAACTTATAATCCTATCAAACTTTTGGCCATTCGGTATTTGACGGTAATCACAAAGCAGGAGAGTTATGCGGTCCTGCATATACAATAGATATTTGTAGTCATGCTTTTTAAATTTCCAATGCTGGCTAATATTTCTAAAAGACAATCTCGGGCCACTACTATCAAGAAAAGAAATATGACTTACCTCTAATCCAGATTCTTTCACCTTTCTCTTGGCGTATTTCAGTTGCTCCTCGGATAATGTAATTCCTGTGAACTTGTAACCAGTTTTCTTCACAAACCGTATTGCTAAAGTGCCCCAACCACAACCAATGTCAAGAACATGATGACCTGACTCCACCTTAGCCTTCAGTTAAATGGATTCATTGCAACAACAGGACATCATATATATAAGGTCATGTGGACTTTTATATGCAAGCTACTAGTAATTAATAAGGTAATGCATATATTGGGGTTGTCCCAAGATCAGGTGAGATTTATGATCTAAGAGAGTTCAAACAAAGCACAATTAATGCATGTTATGATTTTGTTACCTTATTGATGAGACTGTCAAGCGTACGTAGCTGGGCTGCTTCTAAGCTCTCGTCCTCCGCCTACCATTAGAACCAATATATAGAGGTCATTGAGCAATCTCAAGAGGAGTATTACTCACAAGAGTAGATATACTACATAATATTCTTGTTCGAGAACAAAGCTACATAATTTACAATGTGGAAATCAAATCATGAGATTTTGCAAACCTTGAAAATACCAGAAGCTAGAATACTCTGCACAAAAATATTTCACATTGAAATAAATCTGTCACCACTTACTCAGTTCAACACAATGGAAGTGAATGATTTCCAGCATATGGATGGAGGGAGAATAGTTGTAAACTTCGAGCAGTTAGTTATTTTTTTTATTCTTAAAAATATAAACAAAGCTCACTAACCAGATCATAGTGTTCAGATATATTTTTAGGAGCTTTGGATACACTATTCTTCCGCCAGGCATGACGCAGAAAATATTTTGCAAATCCAACTCCACCACTAATTCCAAGCAACGGTGCCCACCAGGCCTTAATTGTATAACCGCTGCAGGGCACATTTGAACAAGTTCAGCAATAGCATATTCATATACGATCCTTCATATTGATGAACTGTTCAGATGTTTTTCTTAGAATTAAGATGAGATACCTTGTCTTATCAGTGCTGTATAACCTCTTGCGTTCACATCTAGTAGCCAATATAATCTGTACCAATATGGCTCATAGATTTAGTCAGCAAACAGAAACAGAGTAGATATATGAATCCATGTAACTAAACAATCAAACTTGCCTATGACAATTCAAGTTTTTATTAAGAATTTTCCAACTAACATAATTATTAAAAAAAAAAGGTTTCCCCTTTTCTATTACGAGAATAAAACTTTGTTTTCAGCATCCAAGTTTTAATGTATTCAAAGGCATGCGCACCATTTTCCCACTAACATATTGGAAAAGATTAGACAAGAATTGAATCAATTGTGTTAGAAGGATTATCTTGAACTTGCTTTCCTATAGTGTCCTAACTTCACTGGATTTTATAAATATGTAAAAAACCAATCGGCCAGACACTTGTCTTACCCGTACAAGGTTCACAAGGCCATTCCGGTGATCAACAAATGAGATATAGCCATGGATGTAGGCAGATGCAAAACCAAGGTCTCCTTCTGTTGCGGCCTAATCAAAACATGAGGCACAGTAAAGATGTATCTCACATGAGATGTGAAGAAGAAACCAGAATGTAGTTTGGAAGGTCAAAAAAAAAAAAAACTTCGAATAAAACAGGAAAGAGAGAAGAGAACCTTCCAATAGAACTGGCGATCATGAAATCGTATCACAGATTTTATATCGCATTTCTCACATGCTTTACCAAAGCTAAACGTAGTGCCTCCTTCCTCGAGCATGCTGTGCACAAAAGTGATGTGAAAATCTTGACTAGAGAGACTGTGCTGTGTAAGGATTTGCACTAGCCTCACCAGAAGTTACCAATAGATGTGTATTGGTCTAAATTTCTTGCTACCAAATAACGTGCGACAGCCTCAGTCCATGATGGGACCATCGGTTTTGGGTTAACCAAAAGGTCACATTTCATTCCAAGCAATCCTGAAGCTGCTGCTTTCCCAGCCTGAGTTAATTCAGTTTGCCATAAACAGAATGCACTCCCATAAATATCTGCCTAATATTCAGCACCTTAGTGATGAAACCTAAAAAGTTCAAGTTCACATGGAATACCTTAACACTGTCCTCATGGTATCCGTAGCCTGTTCTTCAAAAAACGTGCAACATTTCAGTCTTACTTATATTTTAATTAGTTAAATTGCATCCAGGTTGATATCAAACAAAAGTGGTCACCTTGACATGTGCCACAGAACCAAATTCCCCTCTTTCCTTGGATGTTCTTGAGCTCATGGTTAGCCTTTGCAGCTGCAATGGAAGGAATTGGGTGTTTGGTATGCCATTTAAGCAATACATGATTGGGAACACGAGGAGGGTTCAGTGTCACAAGTAAAGGCCCGGCAGATTCAATGTTCTAGCAATTCAAATGTAGGAGAAAGTTCCAAGTTAACACTTCCATATTGTGTAAAATATATTATAAATATATTCGTTCATCAACCATCATGCACAAAAAACATAGTAAATCTAAAGTCACCTGAAGTATATTTAGCCAGGAGGTAACACAGACACCACTGCTTGTTGTCCCCAAGAAGTTCCTAGCGCTCCATGCGGAGGAATTATGTGGCATCAAACTTTCATCACAGTGGACGTACACGTTACTGCAAAGAAAAAAAATACAAGAATTGAAAATTATTGTATCAGATCATGTAAATGAGGAACAACACAATATATAGTGTATAGTGTATGTGTTACCTGCGCATATACTGGAAAGCTCCCAGAGTCTTCAGTTCCTCATGTGTTGCTTCAGCACCTAGTACTTTTACTGCATCCTGTGCATTAATACCTAATATGATCCTATCGTACATCTCCTCTGAACCATCAACCTCTAAAATTTGGTAACCTGCTCGCAGTATCATAACATTCTTCTCATTAGTTAATAAGTAGCGTAATTTTCTGTAAGCAACTAGCTGTAGTTGGCAGTTCAAAAGTATCTTTTCCAGAACCCAACTATATGTTAGTTAATTGTGTAAGGAAAATGGACCCTAGGCCCATTTACTTTGGATTTCGGTGTTTGATGACCAATACAACTAAATTGGACTAATGAATTTGCAAGTGTTTGTTTTATAGTTCAATAGGGTGCAACACGTGACTTGGACGAATGCGACGTGTTGATCCGATGATCAACACCATAAGCAAGACCTTAGGAGCACAAGAAACGACCCAAAATATCAAGCAAAGTCCAAACATGAAGATAGGAACCAAGCCGTACGCAAGATCGCGAAGAAACGAGCTCGCAGAGGCGACCAGACGCTGGACCGGACGCTGGAAGCGCGACCGGACGCTGGACCGGTGGCTCGGCGACAGGCGACCGGACGCTGGCGGCAGATCAATCGGACGTAGGACAGCAGAGTCCGGTCGAGTACAGAGAGGTTCCATAGCGACGAAAATGCGACCGGACGCGTCCGGTGGCATGTGACCGGACGCTGGCAGCGTCCGATCAGTTGATCGCGGCTCCAACGGGGGGGCGACCGGACGCGTCCGGTCAGGACGAGTTCAACGTCCGGTCAGTAGCAGAAAAGCGGGATTTCATCCCCAACGGCTACTTTCTCTGTGGGGCTTATAAATACAACCCTCAACCGGCCATTTGAGTAGCGTGGAGCTGAGGAAACATATCTATGGTGTTGATACACCATTTTAGTGATCTCCACTTGCATAGTGCTTAGTGTTTCATTAGTTGATTAGCGTAGGTGATTTGCGAAGTGCTTAGGTTGATTAGACCACCGCTTATCGGCAGACAGGCGACCGGACGCTGGCGGCAGATCGATCGGACGTAGGACAACAGAGTCCGGTCGAGGACAGAGAGGTTCCAGAGCGGCGAAAATGTGACCGGACGCTGGCAGCCTCATATCAGTAAAACTTAATAAAATTTAACCCCATCTGCTTTAAGATAAGATTTGGTTTTCCTAATTGGCACCTTGAAGATTTGGACCAACTCCTAAATATATTTGTTCATCAACTTAATAAAGTTGTGATCTTAAAAATTTTAAACATTTTGATTAAAACATTGTATCATATGTATATGTATATTAGTAATTCAATTTTAAGCAATATATGTTTTATAAAACAATATTATTACACTATAGAAAAACTGCAATTATCCTGGCGGTTATGATAGAACACACAAAGAAATACGAAAATTGACAGAAAAATTACAATTATCCTGTGTGTTGCTATATTTTTCTGTCGGTCTATCATAGCACCGACAGGGAAATCTCATTTGACATGCGCCTAGAATCCAGATCGATAGCCAACCTGGGCCTGGGCGCGCTGGCCTTTCAGCCGGCCCAAAAGTAGGCACGATGTGCCCGCATACACATAAAAGTAGGAAACCCTAGCTCAGGTCTTTGTGCTCTCAGACGTCGCCAACCTCCCCCTCTGATACCTAAGCAGCGGCGCACGCGGCCTTCAAGCAGCGGCGCGGAATCCCCAAGAGCGAGGCTAGGGATGCTGCCCTCAAGCGGCGGTGGAGGCCCCTCCTCTAGCCCTCAAGCGGCAGCGGCGCCCCATTCGCCGGCCCTCAAGCAGCGGTGGCACCCCATCCCCGGCCCTCAAGCAGTGGCGGTGCGTGGCCGCCAAATGGCGACGTCATTCCCTCCCCTGCCCCAAGTGGCGGCGCGAGGTTCCTAGGGGCGAGGCTACGGTGGCGGCGCTCGGTTCCTAGGGGCGAGCCTAGGGCTGTGGATGAAGGTCAGCGGCAGATCCGGCTCCCTTGCTTAGTCTCCACCTCGTTTTGGTGCTACTGTGGCGGATCTGGGTACTCCTTCGTCTACCCTCCCCTATCTCTCCCTCTGCGTCATCCACTTTGCCATCTCATGGCTCTCCTATTTCCTGCTAGGGTTCGGCGTCATCATGTCTATGGCTGGCGCCTGGCAGCATCGCTTCAAGGACTAGAGATGTGAGCAGACCAATCTGAAGCTGGTTATGGTGATGGCAGCCTCATAGATGCGACCTCTCAAGGTACTAGATCCTAATAATGTAGTGTGTATGAATGCAGAAGCAAATTACAAACTAACCATCACACTGAAATGACAGCAAGTGTTATTACTTGAATATAGTCTTCTTTATACTTCTGCAGGTTATTATATCAAACAAAGATGAACCTTGCAAAGATGCTCTATGCAAGATAGGCTAAATCAGTGTGTAACATCCTAAAATTTGCTTCTCTTGAAATAGAACTAAAATGATTTAATTTTGTATTTTTATGCTCATGAAAATATGAGGAAACACTAAATTTTCATTAGATTAAAATTTATCTTAAGGTAGAAACGTGTTTGTTGCATTCATGCCGGTCGCACCTTGTGTTTCTATGTGCAAATTATGTTCTTCTTAAATACGTTTAGAAGACGAATATCTATCTCTAGAAATTTTCTAGTTTCTTTCTGGAATTTAAATCCTACTTCCTTCGCCTAAATCTTTATGTTCCGAGTTCCCAATAATCTTTTCATGTGCTCCAAATACTTTATTGGGGTTCATCATGTTCCAGAGTGTCTCTAGAAAATTTTCCCAAATTTTTGGAGGTCTCGGAGTATTTTTCGTGGCTTAAATATTAATTCTAAAATTTTCTAAAATTATTTTATTTGCGAAATTAATTAATTCTGAAAATAAATAATATATCTCATTTTTCAACCATCTCTCAAAGCCCATGTGCAATAATCCTAATAAATCTCAAAGGCCGATGCATTTATTTACTAATGGGCTTTAATGATTATTTAGGTCCATTAGTATCATATTGCTAGTTGATGTAGATGTGAATAGTTTTTTTCCCTATAAATACGTACCAACTCCTTGGGCAAAGCACACCAAAACTACCGTAAGTGGAGCCCCTAGTTTGGAAAATCCCTCATGTAGTCAATTAGATTTTTCTCCTCCTTCTCTCGCCGTCGTCGTCGCCGCTGCGCTGCCCGACGCTGTAGACCCGCCATCGATGGCAGGAAGGCCCTAGGTGAGTTCGTCGCCTTCTCCTCTTATTCCCTGTGCTCTCGGCTCGTCAAACCGTGGCCTCAAGGGCCCAAACCTAGCGCTCTGAGGAGCTTCTCGCCGTCGGTAATGGAGCTCGCCGCGCTGGTTTTCTTCTCCGGCCGGTAACTCTCTCTCTCTCTCCCTCTTTTCTAATCTGGGCCATCCAGATTCAATCCAACGGTCCAAGATCGCCCGTACCCCTTCGCCAGGTTTATTTGCAAAAGCGCCCCTATAGTTTTGCATAATATAACATGCAGTCCATAGCGCACTTCTAGAATACGTTTTCCTATTCCGAAAACGTAGTTTCTTTTTAGTATATTCAGAATACGTTTTCTCTTTTAGAAAGCGTAAAATCCCTCTGTTAGATTCAAAATATGTTTTCTTCTTTTAAAAATATAGTTTCTTCGATTAGATCCAAAATACGCTTTCATCTATTTACAGTTTTGCCACTAGTCTTATTTAGGCCATAAAATCTTCGTTTTAATTCCGTTTTGATCCATTCAAGTTGTGTTAGATTTGTAATTCAGTAATCTCTATGTTCATCCTACTATTAAATATATTTTCAAGTTTTGAAATTTGAGGTTAGATTTAATCTATTATTTTATTAAAAGAAATCTTGTTTAATTCATAACTTTTTCGTTATATCTTCGATTAGAGTGCTTTTCGCGTATGTGTGTTCGTAGCGAGACATAGATTTGTTTTACAAACTTTTCACCTTGATTTTATGTTTGATGTACTGTTCTAATTTAGATCTATTGTTTGCTTCGTGTATGATTGCATGAATGCTTGTGTGGTGCTTTTTGATTATATCTAGTCGGTGAGCTTTGCGTTGGTGATATAAAAGAAGTTGGTTTTCCAGAAGATGTCCTTTGGAGGTTACAATTCAATAGAAGAAGGATCTAAGTTTAAGGTAAGTATAGCATGGGATCGTACTTGTTGTCCTATACACCTTTAATCATTTAATTCATGATGCATGTGTCTACATTGATAACCCCTAAGCATTTTCTAGTACTTTGTACCTTGTGCCTTGATACCTATGGGGTAATACATTGGGTAGCATGATGCTAGTGCTCAACTACAGCCATGTAGCCCACACAACTAATGGTATATGCAATAAACATTAAAAGATATTTTTTTAGCAACATGGAACAAGGAGGCTAGAGCGTTGGGCTGTTTTTATGGTGCTCTAGATTCATCTCCCTAATGACTTAACTGTAAGTGATCATCCAAAACTTATAGTACAACTGTGTGGGCTACATGGCTCTGGCTTTAGCTCAGTACGAGGACCTTTTCTAGGTTGCTAGTGGTTAGCTTTATGGCGCAAGAGGGTCTTCGACAGGTATGATCTCGGCCTGCCAAGAGGGTGCACTTTGGTTTCTTAGTATTTTGTTAGTTACTCCTTAGAGGAGGGTTCATGCTTATTGATGGAGAAACCTTAGCGGCCCTAACTTGTTAGACGAACCTTTGAAAGGCTTCGTAGTGAACCCTGCCGATCTTCCTTGGTAGTTAGTCAAGACGTTGGCCGCCTCAGGCAAAAGGGTAAATCATGACTCACAGTAAAAGTGTACAACCTCTGCAGAGTGTAAAATTGGTATATCAGGAGTGCTCACCGTCATGAGCAGCCTTGGACCCTTACAGAATAGATGATGAACACTGATGATACTGATGATAAAATGCTCACTAATGATTACTGTTTATGCTATTCATTATTCATGTTTACCTGATCATGTGTTTATATGGGCTTGTGAATAAACTTGTTGCCACCCAATTGCTAAAACATGGCTCATTAAAAGCTAATTGAAGTTAAACCAGTGTCAGCCTTTTGAGCCTCATGAACTCCATATTA